CGTGCTAGCACTCCACCGAGACGACGCCGCCATCAAAAGGTCGCGTATATTTTTAAAAAGCCTTTCCCGCAACGTGATGTATCGCCTCCGGGCGGGGCGGGGCGGGGCCGGAACCCCCGCGCACGCCCTAGGCACCGCCGCCGTGCGCGCCCCGCTCCACGCCGAGGGGGGACCCACTAGGCACATTCGTTGTACATCCTGAGACCCAACTCCCGAAAAACTCACTCACATTCAAGACACATTCCACACATTCTCATAGAATCAAAACAATCAGCCACAATCCAGCACACTCTTACACATTCGCTAACATTCCCTAACATTCTCACACAATCGCTGTACATTCTCTGACATTCTCATACATTCAGTCACATTCTGGACACATTCTTAACACATTCTCTGCACATTCCTTACACATTCTCAATGACAGTCCCCTAAAAATATTTATTTTAGTCTAATAACTTCGATTTAGGTTTACGTTCCTTTGAGCTCTAGCAGTACTTCCCTCCCTCCAGTGCGGTAGTGCGGTAGTTCGTGTCCATCCCGAATCCGAACGGAGCCGCTGTCCCGTGCTCGCGTCGGGATCGTCCCTGGAAGCGCGCGAAACTCTGTCGAAGTCGGTCGAAGTCGAGTCAGCCAAGCCCCAGCCTAGTCCCAGCCCCAGGTCGAGGACAGGATATAGTTTACTGGTTATGGATAAGGTTTGTCACTTGAAAGTGTTAATTTACATTGCCCTTTGCTTAAGTTCAGTTTTCTTTTCATTCAAATTTGAATCCTTTCATAACGTAAGCCAGAGCACGACTAGTGTCGTTTACAACTACCCAAAAAATAAAAAAAACCGTTTGGAACTGGCAGTTTGAGATAATGCTTATTAAACTGTGCGTCACTTGAACACTAGCCGCTCTGCGTGTTTGTGACTAAATCTGACGTCCTCCGCAGTTTCACAGGGGGGCCAGCCACCCTGGATGAGCACGTCATATGGAAGATAGGTCGGCGGATTTGGGCAGTTGTAAAAATTTCTTACATTATGCCCTGGAGCACGACTAAGGAATGAAAGGAGTTGTCCAAAATCTGGCAACTTCATGCGACAAAGCAAGATTTATAGAAGCAAAGAAACACCACTATGATGAACGGTTGACTACCTCAGGCGTGAAATTGGTTGCCTACCTTCACGGCGCTATGTAGAGACGTCGGCCGCACGCCCATTCAGCACACAATCTTCACACATTCTCACACATTTTCGCACTTTTTCTTACATTCTCACACATTCTCATACAATCTCTAACATTCCTGACACATTCTGTCACATTCTCACTACAATCTGTAACATTCACACACATTCTAGACAATCTTTACAATCAGTACATTCCATTACAATCTTTACATTCTCACACATTCAACACATTCTACACATTCTACACTCAGTTGTACACTTTTTGGGGCAGTGGGTCCCCCCTCGCTCCACGCACTGCCGGTGGCAGGCGATTCGAAGGCGATTCCACTCACGCGGGGTAAGTTCGCAGAGCTGCCGTCCGATTCCGAAGGATCTTTTCGTCGCTGTCTCTCTCGGGGACGCCCGCATGAGTGCGAGAGAGACAGAGCGGCGAAAAGATCCTTCGGAATGAGGCGGCTGCTGCTCCCCGCGCTCGCTTGTCCCGCGCCCCCAGCACCGGCGCGCTCCGCCGCCACCGATCCCGTTAAATGACTGCCGCCCCCGCCAAGGCCCCCGCCAAGGCCCCCGCAACCCCCGCGGCGTCACGCGCAAAGCGCGGCGGCGGGACAAAAGCGCGTGGGCAGACGCGGGGGCGGAGTCGCTAGAGTATCGCGGCCGCCCGGGGGCGGAGCAGCGGAGCAGAACAGGGAGCCCGACGGCCAAAGGGCGAGGGTCGCGCGCTGGGGGGGCACCGCTACGCCCCGCCACGACCCGCCACGCCCCGCTACGCCCCGCTACGCCCCGCCACGCCCCGCCACGCCCCGCCACGCCCCGCTACGCCCCGCTACGCCCCGCCACGCCCCGCCACGCCCCGCCACGCCCCGCCACGCCCCGCCACGCCCCGCCACGCCCCGCTACGCCCCGCTACGCCCCGCCACGCCCCGCCACGCCCCGCCGGCTCCAGGGGCGGGGGCTGGAGGGTGCTGGGGGTGGCGAACTGGACAAGACGACGCCCCACGACGTGTGTCTGTGTGTACTGTGTGAGTGCGTGTGTGTGTGTGAGTGCGTGTGTGTGTGAGTGAGTGTGTGTGTGTGAGTGCGTGTGTGGGAGAGCGAGCGAGCGGGGGCGTAAGAGAACGGGGGCGTTGTTGGATCAGGGCGGGGCGGGGCGTTGCAGGACTGCAGGGGGCATTGTCTCCCACAGTGTCTGTCCCATGGTGGCCGCGCGGCGCCACATTTTCGCAGTGGAGGGCGTAAAGTGCGCTCCGGAGAGAGGCGCGCGCAAAAATGATACAAAAAGTAATAGAGCGGGGGCAGGGTTCGCTAAATGGGCCCGACGCCCTGTCCTTGCGCTCGAGCGCCGTGTGTTTGTGTGTGCCTGTTCGTGTGTGTGTGTGTACAGGGCGGAGCGGGGAGGACATGTTGTCTCAGTGTGCGTGCGGCCCTCGTGTGGGCTCGTAACCAGTGTTGACACACCCAAATGCGTGGGCCTGCCCGGTAAAGTGGAGAGAGTGGCACGGGCAGGAGGGTCTCGAGGACGGCGACGAGGACGGCGACGAGGACGGCGTCGGGGGGTGCGCTCGGTCCGTCCGGTCCGGGGCCAAAGTGGCCGGATGATAGTATTTTCCCAGAACCGAAGAAGTCCTTTCCCTTTCCCAGACCCAGGACGGCCGGGCGCGTCGCTCCAGAGCTCCAGAGGCTCCATAGAGGCTACAGGGCCCGCTGCCGCGCCAGAACCGCCACCGTGATCAATACCCGCAGTCCTCGGGCCGCGTTCGGATCCGTTCGGCTACTTTCGGAGACGGCAGAACCCTTTCGGCCGGACGGAAGCTGCAGCGCTGGAAGCTGGACTGGGCACTCATTATCGGCCGTCGGCTGCTGCGGGGAGCTGAGGCTGAGACGCCAAGACGGATGGGCCGGGTTGCACTCGATTCGCCGAGGCCGGCCTCGACGCCCCGGCCTCGACGCCCCGGCCTCGACGCCCCGGCCTCGACGCCCCGGCCTCGACGCCCCGGCCTCGACGCCCCGGCCTCGACGCCCCGGCCTCGACGCCCCGGCCTCGACGCCCCGGCCTCGCCGGCCTCGACGCCCCGGCCTCGACGCCCCGGCCTCGACGCCCCGGCCTCGACGCCCCGGCCTCGACGCCCCGGCCTCGACGCCCCGGCCTCGCCACGCCGGGGAAAGGCCGTGCCGTCCCTCACAGTCTCCGAGTCTCACCAGCCGAGCGATTCACAAGATCGGTTTGCCGCAGTCTCTCTCGCACCCTTACGGAAAGACCCATGAGTGCGACAGAGACAGAGCCACGAAACGACTCCTCTGAATGGGTCGGCAGCCCGGCCTAACGCCGGCCGATCCAGGCCTTGGCCCAGTCAGTGAAATTGCTTTAGACGGGCGACATCAAACACTTAAAGTGTTACAGTTTGCCTACTAACCGGCGGACTTGGAACGGGATGCCTGGAGGCGCCTGGAGGCGCGGGCGCGAACCCCCGCCAAACCCCCAGTCCCGCCCCCTCTGTCAGCCTAACCTAACCTGCCAAAGCCCGCGACACTGGCAGCCGCCGCGCCACCCCACCCCTGTCCTGGTCGACCTGGTCCATCAACAGCCTCCCTCCCTCCAACGACATGGGATTCCCAGAAGAGACAACGTCGAACAAGCCGGAAAGTGGCGGGAATTCCAGAGCGAAGGACCAAACTCCTTTCCTTTCTTTCCTTCTCCTTTTTCATTAATGCTGGGAATGAAAATAGCGTCGCAAGGGAGAGGTCGTTATTGGACAGCGCGCTTTCAACAGGTCCCCTCCCTTCCTGTGCTGCCTGCCTGGCTGCCTGTGCCAACTCCGATGACCACCCAGCAAAGCCCCCGACAAAGCCCTGCCGAAAAGGCGGAAGGCGGACTCCCCGAGTCTGAGACGAGGCGAGGGGGCGGCCCGGGGGACCGGGGCTGAGGCGGCGCACCGCGGGGGGGGGGGCGTGCGGCAGAGGCGCGCGGACGGGGATTATGGAAGCCAGCAAAGCGCAGCTAGTGAGCGGGGAACAGCGCATTAATACGCACGTGGGGAAAGAGAACAAGTTGGGGCTCCAGGATCCAAAAGGGCCGCCACGCAAAAGCTCATTAAATATCATTGTTCGCAGGGAGAGTCGACTCGTGACATGTCTGACCAAACTGAAGCGTTGTGAGCTATATACTTCAAAATTTCAAGACATTATCCGATGTCTGGAGTTACTGACTTGCCCTTGGATAAATAGCACGTTTCACAAAATATTGCACAATGACAGAAAGATAACATCATCACAGAAATCATCAAAAATGGGAACAGTGGAGACTCGTTATAAAATTTTTCTTAAATTAGAAATTGTAACAAAATTTAGCTAGATTTTCGGCTACATGACAGTTGATGACAATATGAAGTGGATCTACAGAAGCTGCGACTTTAAGAAATAGGGAACTATGGCCTCTGAAGTCATATCGTGTGTTATCTCAGCAGGAGGTAAATGAAACGGACAGAACCTTTCTAGACATCGGAGATTCTAGAGGTGGTGTAAGATATAACCTAGTACTATAGTGCTAATTCAGCACATGATTTAAAAACTCATGAGATAAAACATTTAAGTTTTCATTGATGAAGTACAAAATTTGTGAGGAAATGCAAAATGAGGACAAGCCCAAAATGAAAATATTCCTAACGCTACAACTTCAACTTTAAAGACGAAAAAAGACACACAAAACAGACGGTGGGAAGGATAAAGGAGTGATGGCTTGTCTGCAAGTGCAAGAATTCTGTCGTGAAATGTGTGACATTTGGCCCCCCATTAGCACATTCAGAAACACAGTATGAATTAGGTTAAAACTCACCCTTGAAAACAGTAGGAGAGATAACTCCTTTAAAGGCCTGCGACGGTTGGCAAGTGTTTTCTTGAGTACTTCGTCTGTCCACAACTCGCGACAAGCTGCTTGAACGAACGAGAATTTAGAATATGTTTAGAAATTAGACAAACAAGAACACAACTCTGCAAGGGACCACCCACTCACACTCAAAATCTTCAAAAGTGTTGCTTGCTGATCTGTGAGAACAAAGGCAGACATGAGCATCCGGAAACCACACTTTCTTCTCGGAACATCACTTTAAAGCATCGAGTCTACGCACTGGAATGCACCAAAAAGGCACGAATAGTTACGCAGGTACGAGCTAGGCTTCGAAACCTAAATATCTCTTTTCAAGAGAAATGGCTAGAAAAAATCAAGGCAATGGCAATCTCCGCCCGGCAAATGAGGAAAGGGCGCGAGATCCGGTTCCGGGCGCGGAGACTAAATCCGTTCACATGAAAAACTAAGCATGCGGCAAACCAACTGTGATTAGTGAAGGGTACAGGCCAAACATGACAATGTGGGCTCACGCTTTTCGAAATTGAAATATTTAACGATATTGTCTCACGAAAGCATTGAGTCTCTTGAGGTAAGATAGGTTATCTCTGGTTATGCAGTCCACGAGCAGTGGCTTGTGGTGCCTCGATTTCTCATCTGTGCTCACATCCGACGGGTTTGTAAACTTGCGGAGGGAATGAGGGGAGGGTGGGGGATCTGTCACGTAGTTTCGTCTGCTACGGTTAGAGTAGGGTCAGGTCTGCTTCTGCTGTTCTAACGACGTCCATTATGTGTTGATCGGGCCTTTTTAGCCAAATTTTCTCTATTTCGATCTACGCTTGCGTTGCGCGCGAACTACGGTGAAGAATGGGTGCTCAGTGGCTGGCGGAATACGCCCTATGCCTGAGACTAGGCTTGAAATGTGTACTTAAAGCCTATTGAGGCCAGAGCTAGGGCTATTCTGGCGTCAAGCGACGTTCACTGCCAAAGCAAGGTGTGGTTTGTGTTCTGAAATGTTCTGACATTGTCCCGGTTGTTTTGGGCCTTGAATATTCTTGACTTACTATTTTGTAGTGGAGTTACCCCTCTATTGCCTCTCAAAGAGGTATGATCTACATTGTGGTTGAGCATATCATGGCTGTTAATCAATCTTTCCATGTTTTATAATTTCTTTGCTCAAAATCAAGTGTCAAGTGTATTTCATTGTGGGACTACAGAGCAGTTGTATATGTTCATTATCCTGAATGATAAGTCACTCATAGCGTGTGTCTGCCCTATTTTCTTCACCAGGCTTCTGTTACATAATACTCTCCATTCATACTAATTTTGCCTGGGTCTCAATTTTTGACATATTAAATCATTTTTCTTTTTGGAGGGTATTTAACAGTGGCAATGTAACTATGCTGACATTAATTTTTATTTGTTTTGACAGGTTTATAGACCAATTACCTCCAGCGTAGGAACCTCAAACTAATTTTCACAATGCCACGAGTGAAAATAAGCAGACAAAGAGCTCATAAACTGCTGTCACTAACCCCCAACCAGTCAGCGACTGTTGATAACAATGCCAATAATACAAACGTCACTAATAAAGAATGTGGGGTGTACTTCTCAAAACAATTCCCCCCGAATCTCTTACTAAATATGAATGATCTACGGGAAAACCAACGGTTTTGTGACATAGAAATAGTGTGTGGTGGAAAACACATTAAGGTAAGCCAAATTTGTTCAGCATTTAGACGTTTAAAGTCTTCTGAATTGAGTAATATGAGCTTTTTTTTTTTCTTTCTAGGCTCACCGGGTTATATTGGCTGCAAGCAGTCCTTACTTTCATGCCATGTTCACTGCAGAACTCTTAGAGAAACAAAAACCATGTGTTGAACTACATGCTGTTGATCCTGACATCTTGGAAGAATTAATAAGTTTTATTTACACAGGTAGTCAAGAATATCAGTAATTTATAACATTCATGAGTTTTATTGCTAAAATAAGATTAATTATAATAAAATCTCTATTTTAAAGGGAAAGTAAAGATTGGCCAGGACAATGTACAAGACTTGATTGTAGCTGCAGATATGTTACAACTCAAAGAAGTTGTCACTGGTTGCACAGAGTTTCTCTTGAAAGAACTACACAGTTCAAACTGTATTGGCATCTATAGGTAACTTGTCTGACCATCAATCTTAGTGTCTCTGCATCTGTTTGCTCATCACCAAATTATTTCATTGTTTGATTGTAATTCATCAACATATTTCTGTTCAGGTTTGCTGATGGTCACAATTGTTCAGATCTTGCTGCTTCTGCAGTTGACTATGTGAATTCTAATTTTCCTCAAGTAAGCGTTGAGGATGAGTTCTATGAGTTGCCCAAGGACCAATTGCTACGTTTTCTGTCTTCTGAAAATTTGGTAGTTGATACAGAATTTCAGGTAATGAGATCATCTTCTTATGTTTTCCAAGTATTACCAATATTCTCAAGGAAAGGAAATAATTATTTGAAATTTTGCTTCCCTTTTCTGAAGGTGTTTCAAGCAGCTATACGATGGATTCTCCATGATGTTACACAGAGGAGGCAGTACGTTTTTGAAATACTTGCTCATGTGAGGTTACCACTCCTATCAACATACCTTTTAGAAAGAGTCATCAATGAATTGACAGATAGTAGCTTGAAGGTAAATATATTTTGGTACATATTACTCTCTATGCGTGTACAAACGCTGCAAATTGCAAATAGGAGTCTCTAATGCAGGGCTCCGCAAGATGCAAAGAGAGGGGTTGCGTGATTGATTGATTGATTGATATTTGCTGTCTTATCTATGACCTATCTGTTTAGATGTTCTCTCCTGAATTATTCTTCACTGAAAATTTCAGGTTGCTTTACGGTCAATCCGCAAAGATTTGCTATCCAAAAGGGGCCACTTGGTTTCGTTGGTTGTTCATCCCAGACTTCGGGCAAAGAAGGATGTTTATGTGATTGGTGGATCAAAGAGAGAACTAGTCAGTGCATCGAGCAGTGCGTGGACTCGATCATCTGAGTGTACATTTTCATCAGTAGAAAGATTCAGCACCTTTACTCAGTAAGGCCTCATGATTAATACCAAAGATGATCTTTTTCTTCAGTTAAATTCAGATGCTTCAGCATTTGAATTTTAAAATTCTAACTCTTTGTGTATAAGGCAGGGATTTTTATTTCTGTTGTGTTGCAGAGAGTGGGTTCAGTCAACACCAATGGCAATTGGCCGTATCTTACCTGGAGTTGCTGTTTTAAACTCTAAAATCTATGTGGTTGGTGGGGAACAAGAATCTCAAATCCTAGCAAATGGTGAATGGTATGACACACAAGCAGACACTTGGAACAAGGTATCGGTATGGCAACATTTTGATTCCAGCATCTCTGAAATTAATTTTGTTTGAATATTAAATCTTTGACTGGACTTTTGTTTATTAGATGGCAAGTATGGTAGTTCCGCGATGTGAGTTTGGCCTGTGTGCTCTCAATGGTTATTTGTATGCTGTTGGCGGTTGGGTGGGTGAAGACATTGGTGGATCAATAGAGAGATATGATCCCTTGAATGACGAGTGGCGTCTAACAGGAGAGCTCCCTGAGCCTCGATTTAGTATGGGGGTGGTATCATATGAAGGTGCGATATCATAGCGTTTCTATTACACCTCTGTGTTCATGCCTCTCGACTAAACAAAACCTTAAACCCCTTGAACTTTTATTTCAGGGTGCATATATATGGTTGGTGGATGTACTCATGCTCGCCGCCATCTTCAAGACTTAATCTGCTTTGACCCTGCCACTGGAGTATGGTGCACACTGAAGCCAATGCTTGTGCCACGAAGCCAAATGGGTGTTGCTGTCCTTGATGGGTATCTTTATGTTGTGGGTGGCAACAACAGACACCATGAAGCCTTGCAATCAGTTGAACGTTACTCTTTTACAGAGGTATTTCTTCCTCCCACTATTCTGTGCTGTACGTAATCTCTAGTTCCACTGTCACCTGCCTAAACCACTCTTTCATTCATTTTGTTTTTCAGAATGAATGGACCAAAGTTCCCCACATGCATATTGGAAGAGCAAGCCCTGCAGTTGCTGCTGCTGATGGAGTGCTGTATGTCATTGGTGGTGATGAAACGCATGAAGTCAACTTTTACCGAGCCCAAATTACCATTTCTAGTGTGGAGTGCTATGACCCTCAGACTAATAAGTGGCGTGATTGTCCACCGTTACCTGAAAGTCGTAGTGAGGCTGGGGCTGTAGTTGTGTGAAAACTGATATTTTCGCAAAGTAAGATTTTTCTCAAGGCTGGAAACTAATATCTGTTAGACGACCTTCATCATAATTTTGGATGACAGGGCTGGACCATCATTTCATATGTAAACATGAATTGGATACACCTGTTTACTGCAATTTTACTCCTTTTCCCCCTAATTTTGATTTTGTACGTACACGTTTAGGAACAAGTTAAGGTGATAGGGGACTAAACTAAATTTTGATTTATGTTTTGTTTGATGGAAGTGTGATCATTTCTTCTTACTTCATGAAAGCACAATGTTTGGATAATAATGAACTCTGATGGAGCTTAAATTAAATCATATCTGAATTTTCATACTTGCACATCTTTCCTAATGGACTGAGGAAACACTCAAATGTTTGTTTTAATTTGAAGAGGCTGCATTCCTGGCCCCCGAGCACAAAGCAATGCTTAGTTATTGCTATTGAGTTTATTCAGACTGAAACTACAGTATCAACTTGGCTCTTTTGGCAGTGTATTTGATTTGGACTGATTTATTCATTGCTATGATTTCCTTCCTTTCTTTTTCTACTATTCTCTGTGAACGTATGTTCTAGCGGGAACAGTGCTGTATACAGGTATTATCTTTCATCTTTCTACCCTAACATTCTTTTACCACTATGTACTAGCATTTTGTAGACTGTATTTAAAATGTTTTAACCAAAGATTGCACCTTAAGTGTTTGTGTCTGTTTTGTTGTTTGTTTTATTTGTTTATACCCATTTACTATTATTAAGTTGCTGTACAATGTATGGGGTGAGATGATGTTACTATTTAATGTTGCTTTTGAATTAGTCACCCTATTAACATTCTTAACTTTTTCAAAATGTGACAGAGAACTCCTAGCCATTGTAAAATTAAAGTCTGTATTGTTTCAGGAATTTATGGACGAACTAAGGCTATCAAGGTGTTTATAAAGTAATGTAATGATTTTTTTACTATGGTTATTGTGTATGTTTATGTCAATGTTTAGTTAAAGTGTGCCTAGTCAATGTAGTCTTGTCTCAATTGATCCAAATATCACAAAACTTTAACAAGGAATCTGGGAAAAAGAATTGATGTATGTATCACATCAAGTTTCTTCATTCCATCACACTTTATGTATACATTGGGACACTTGTGTTCATGTAAATAACAAGTTTGTTTCTCATTCCTCTCTGGATATTCATGACCAATACAATAGAAGACAGAAACATACCCTCCAGATATTGTAGATGTGCTTACTGTACAATTCCGAAATTTCGTTGACAGTTTCTCCCTTCTGCATAGCTGTTGTTTGGTTTATACTAGGCTCTTAGGAAATATTCGAGCAATTAGTCTGCCTTTTTTTCACAGTTTGGCTTCTGCATCTAAACTGTCTTATTGTTGCGTAGTCTAAATGTATGACCTAGAGAAACTTTTTTATATTCCTTTACAAACCACATATAAATGCGATTCCAGAGTTGATGTATTTTGCTGTTCACCAAATGGTGGCTTAAAGGCCACTGCTTCAGTGCTATTTCTGTGTTACTGTATTCACAAGCTTCTATTCAAATTTTAACTGTAGTTTATTAATTTTAAGCCAGCCCTTTTATTGTAGGTTCCAGCAAAGCAAACTGAGAGTATTGATTTCTTGTGTAGTGTAAAGAAAGCTTGTCTCTATAGACAACTGTAATGTTTGTTTTCTTTAAATAGTTTTCTGATTTGTTTTGCAGTTCTGTTAAAAAAAAAATTTCTATTTTTTTTATAAATTAAAAGGAGCCCAGTTGTAATAATTTTACTGGGATTGTATCTGAAAATGACCTGCTCAAAGCACATTATGAAATGTCTGAACTTCTTCGTATTCTGTGATAACTATACAAGCTTCTTCCATTTTTATTTCTCCTTGAAATTTTGTTTCATAGTTTCATGTTTTCTGCCTGTGGTTTCTTTATTACATATTCTCCATATTCACAAACATTTTAACAACTAATTACTGTTACTGTTTGAATGAAGTATCTTTTTCAATATGCAAAAACGTGTTTCTTCTCATCAAGAATATTATGCATTGACATCATATCAAATGATTGTTCATCAGATCATCACAGGACTGTATTAATTTACCTGCCATTTCTTGAAGCAAATTAGTGTCTTTTGTAAAATATTGCCATTCCGATCCTTAAATCATCTCACCTGGGAAGTAAATGGTTAAAATCCATAAGTCCTCCTGAGCTGTTTAACATCAATGCCGAACTAATTTTTCGACTGAACCTATGTACTACCACTATAATATGGTGGACACTCTTTGTTACTCATAATCAACATGGTGAATTAAACTAATTACATTGCAATAAAGGGTTTCAACTGTAGTGAGTCATTAATGAATAAATTATATAGTATCAGTAAGTTCCCTGTGTTGTTTTTGCTTATGCATTCCAGCTAGGCCCCAATCAATCTCTCTTTCCCCCAATATCTGCCCCAGCCCTTCCGCGGTAAGGAAGGTAAGGGTCGAAGAAAGCTGTTCCCGATTGACACAACCCCTACAGAGCCATTCGCAAGGCAGCGTTAGGCAGTGTAACAAAGAACCCACTTGCCTTGCGCTAAAGAGTGGGAAAAAGAGGTCTCCAACCCCCTTCCCTCCCACTGCTTCCCCGCGCTGTGGCTGGAGGGAAGGCGAGCTGGGCATTGGTGTGCGCTGGGACCGCACTCCGCTCCTTTCAGAAGGTACCCCCAAGAGTTCTTGGCTTATAATGGGCCGAGGGTGTATTGGAGAGTAGGGAGGGAGAGGAGGTTTCGTCGGGGCAGTTATTAATCCTGAGCTGAACCGCATATTTCACGGGGATAGGACCCTCGGCTCTACACAACAAAAAATTCCGTAGTATAGTACGGCATATGAACAGAAAATGGGTGCGGAAAAAGTTTGGACCTTCCGTACTGGTTCTTCGCTTCGTAGTCCCTAAACTAAAGATCTAATGTGAACGCACTCTCACGAGTCCAAAGTCTCTTGAGATTCAGACGTCACGCAGCGACGCAGCGGTGATGCCACAGAGTGACGCCGCCGTATAGAGGTATGCATCGTCTGATTCCGAACAGTGTCTGTCGCTCCGTCTCTCTCGCACGCTTACTCCCCCGTGGGGAGTGCGAGGGAGACAGAGCGACGTAAGCGCTCGCCGCCCGCAGAGCCGTACGGACGGCACTACACCGCAAAGCGCCGCAAAGCCTCTCCACATCGACCCGGCTCGGCCGCTCAATGTTTCACCGTTGCCGCCGTGGACGCCGTACGCCGTACGCCGCGCGCCGTGGAGCCAGACGGCCAGACGTAGCAAGGCCCCGCCAGGCCCCGCCTCCCGCACACCCACTGTTGCCATAATGGCCAGCCCAGGCCAGCCACGGACAGCCGAGCCGCCGTGCCAGTGTCGTGGCCGGCGGGGATGGGCATGCAAGTTTCATTGTTTGCGCTCTCTCTCACTCCCATTCCCAGTCCCGGTCAGTCCCACTCAGTCCCTGTCCCAGGACCGGACCGCGCAATTATCGGCCATCATTGGCCGAGAAAGGGTGAGGCGCGGGAAAATGAATGAATGAATGAATGAATGAATGAATGAATGAATGAATGAATGAATGAATGAATGAATGAATGAATGAATGAATGAATGAATGAATGAATGAATGAATGAATGAATGAATGAATGAATGAATCAATGAATGAATGAACGAATGAATGAATGAAGCCCATGCGCGCGCGCTGCGGCGCGTGATAAACACAAAGTGCCTTTGCTTCACCTCCTCCAAGATTAAAACGCCGCAGCCCTTACGCTCTGGCCGGCGCCAACGACTTGCTTCGGTGTTACCGTGTCACTGGGTCGCGCTTCGCACCGAGCTCTGCAAGTTGGGGTCCGGGTTCAATCCTTAGGTGACGCCATACAATATTCATCATAGCACTGCTTGGGAAATTAAATTGGAGAGGTTGACCCCCCTCCCCTTTCGGGTCCTCCGCCCCCCTCTACGTACTTTCAGTCGGTGGGGATCGGCGGCAAATGCGCCATCGATGTGGTATTAAAAGCTTTCCCTCGAATTCCCTCAATGTATTTTGTGATGATTAGCAATTTCCTACTTTGATTGTGAGTAAATTCGCACAAATCTCAATCAATTTCTCCTTTTGAAATTGGTGGAATAACTTACCTAATTCTTGACTCTGACTCTGGGTCTACGACGAATATTTCGGCAGGTCGGACAACAAGTGGTCGTTCAAACGGTGTACTCGGCTTGACTCTCTATGATTTAGTTCCTCCTGGCCCATTGCAAGGGTGTGATCACCATCCTTGCACAGCCGCGTGGCGAGTGAGGGAGACGGCGTGCAGACTGAAAGCCCTCGGCGGACGCACGGCCATCAGTCTCCTGGCGCTTTCGCAGCGAGACATGGTGAGCTCGTCGTGCGTAGCCGTGCGTTGCCGTGCGTTGCCGTGCGTTGCCGTGCGTAGCCGTGCGTAGCCGTGCGTTGCCGTGCGTTGCCGTGCGTTGCCGTGCGTTGCCGTGCGTTGCCGTGCGTTGCCGTGCGCACTGCCTGTCCGTCCCTGACTCGGTCACGCGTGCTGCAGCAATCTCTCGGAAGGAATGCGATATTGTTTGCTGGCGCGGCGTGCGTGCGGCGTGCGCGGCCCGCGCTACGTGCGGGGCATGGCGAGGCCTTCCCTCGGCCCCACTCGCGGGGCGGGGCGGGGCGGGGCGGGGCGGGGCGGGGCGGGGCGGGGCTCGTAGGCGCTCGGCGCGCGGCGCCTACCCCACAGAGGTCCCCCCGGAGACCACACCACGCACCTGCCACGCCCAACGACCTCACCTAAGGAGACCCTCTGGGAACCCAACCCACCCCGCGCGCCACTGGCCAGGAGAAAAAAAGCGACCGTTTAAACGCAGACCTATGGCACCGCATGGACCAACTTTCACCATACCGTTGTGGGTTCCCGCCCGGTTATCGGTTTCCGGCCGGTTACCAAAGTTAAGCTGGTGGCTCGAGTCCCATTGCGGGCGGAGGTCCTAGGTGCTACTTTTGTTTTGGTTTAGCAAATGAATTTTCGCAATCCTGTTCGGGACCAAAGTGTATCGGGAACTGCCACGAACTGACATCACCATCGGCGTGCTTGCCAGTGTGGTACCCTGGAAATGGAGCGGAGGACCGGTTGGGGGGGGGGGGCAAGGTCAGCGGGGGTCACAGTGTGCAGCGGTGCAAGCCCACTCCCCTTTGTGCTGCCTATGCGGCAACGGCAGCCCTGCAGGCAGGCAGGCAGGCAGGCAGGCAGGCAGGCAGGCAGGCAGGCAGGCAGGCAGGCAGGCAGGCAGGCAGGCAGGCAGGCAGGCAGGCAGGCAGGCAGGCAGGCAGGCAGGCAGGCAGGCTGTCTATTGATCAAGGCTGCAGCGACCGCCCTGCACCCTGCAATATTTACATCTCCAAGTGATCCTTGGCCGGCGCTCCCGCCAGCCACCTGGGCATCCCGCCGCCCTGCCGCCCTGCGCCCCGCGCCCTCCTCTCCCGTCTTGTTGACGCGTACAAATTACTTTGGCGAGGCAATTTCTGCCGTGCCGCCCGCAGCAGCAGGGGCGCGCTCCTCGCGGCGCTCCTCCTCCCTGGCCACCCCCTCCGCCCTCCGCCCTCCGCCCGCAGCAGGCGGAGCAGCGTGGCAGCGTGGCAGCGAAGCGCAGCGACGCGGCGGCAGACCGGAAGATACACCCCGTGATGCAGAAGAAGGTGAACCTAGAGGCCTATATACTATATACGAAGTATTTAGGCCTCTAGGTGAACCAAGGCTGGCCCGCCCGAAGCGGCTTGCTTAGTAAGGCGTGGAGGCGAAATTGACTTGGGACGTTTGCTGTTCACTTTGTGTGTGTGTTGTGTTGGCCCTCGAGATTCATGCATGGAAGAGAGAGAGGGAGGGGGGAATCGCTGTCTCGGCAGCAGTTGGAAAACAACGAAAACAACGCACCGTGGGCCTGACGACCGACAACCAGCGCAGGCGGCCAAAACTCTGGACGCGTTTTGAGCTCCAGGGTCGCTAAATGGGACCCGACCCGAACGTGTGACCCCACCAACGGATTCCTCGTTGGGAGAGCAATCCATTGGTGGGGTCACACGTTCGGGTCGGGTCCCATTTAGCGACTCTGGAGCTCAAAATGCGTCTAGAATTTTGGCCGCCTCCACGTCTTCTGGCCCACAAAAGAACACAGCGTTCACGCCAACTTGCGTCGATCGCTGGGCAGCACGGCGACTGTTGTTTCGGGGCTGCTCGTCGCAGCGCGTCGCAGCGCGTCGCAGCGCCAAAGCGCCGCAAAGATGGCCTGGCTATCATCCCGGCCGTAAAGCCCCACACGCCATGACGCCCACCAGAAGGCAGCCCGGCCGAAACGGAGCGCGCCCAGGGCCGGGCCCGGCCGGGCCGCTCTGCAGCAGGCCCTAAAATCGAGAACCGTTACGTAGACATCGCGAACCACACTGCCAAGCCCACCTCAACAGCAGCTCTCTAAGCGCGGGGGCGTCGCGAAGGCGTCGCGAAGGCTGCCATGCCTCGCGGCGAGTCGCCTGGCGTTGCAGGGGTGCTTCGTCGCGAAGGCTGCCATGCCTCGCGGCGAGTCGCCTGGCGTTGCAGGGCGGCGAGTCGCCTGGCGTTGCAGGGGTGCTTCGTCGCGAAGGCTGCCATGCCTCGCGGCGAGTCGCCTGGCGTTGCAGGGGTGCTTCGTCGCGAAGGCTGCCATGCCTCGCGGCGAGTCGCCTGGCGTTGCAGGGGTGCTTCGTCGCGAAGGCTGCCATGCCTCGCGGCGAGTCGCCTGGCGTTGCAGGGGTGCTTCGTCGCGAAGGCTGCCATGCCTCGCGGCGAGTCGCCTGGCGTTGCAGGGGTGCTTCGTCGCGAAGGCTGCCATGCCTCGCGGCGAGTCGCCTGGCGTTGCAGGGGTGCTTCGTCGCGAAGGCTGCCATGCCTCGCGGCGAGTCGCCTGGCGTTGCAGGGGTGCTTCGTCGCGAAGGCTGCCATGCCTCGCGGCGAGTCGCCTGGCGTTGCAGGGGTGCTTCGTCGCTCTGTCTCTCTCGCTCCCCAGAGCCACGCTCCATGAGTGCGAGAGAGACAGGAAGACGATCCTTCGGATTCCGGCGGCAGGACGCCTTCTTCCTCGCATCGACGGGCCGGGCGCCTTTTCCTAATGCGCCGCCAGCTGATGCAAAGCAACAGCGGGGTGCAAGCGAGGTGGCGTGCTGGCCGGAAGGGGGGGGGGGTCTGGCTGGAGTCTCGGCGGGCCACGCTCCTCGCAGTGCTGCTCTGGACGCGGCGCCGGCAACACCCCAGCGCCACAGCGCCGCGCCCCGGACGCCGCCACCCCCAGCCAGTACACGCGACTCGGCCGACTCGACGATCGGCGCGCCGAGGCCCAGGACAGACCACCCCCAACGGTCGCGGTCTCGGCCACGGCCAACAAGTGCTTCGCGGCGCAGGCACGGCCACCACGGCCAGCTCGGCCAGCCCCACCGGTGCCGCCATGCACGGCGTCCGCGGCGCCGAGGCCCAGCCCAGCGCAGATCTGCCGCTGCCCCCGCCGCCCCCGCGGCTGCAGCACCGCGAAGACCGCCAGGACCGAGGCCAGGACGACCAGTGGGGCCGGGCACCGTAGGCTGCCGTCGGCTGCCGTCGGCTCGGCGTGGGTGCGCGCGTAGACGCTGTCCAGGTGAGTCGCCGCCACTGCTCGTCGTCGTGACTGTCGCGTTGTTGGGCCCCCTCCTCCCTCGGGGCCGCGTCGTCGGCGTCGTCGCCGTCCTGACACGCCAGTGACACGGGCCTCATGTCCCAGCCAAAGTGGGGAAGGCGCTCGGGGGAAGGCCAGGGAGGGTGGCATCGCTGGCCGAGTCGCTGGGTGGCAGGTGGGGCAGGAGGGGGAGCGGGCAGCGACTTACGAGGTAAGTTGGAGTGGCTGTGTTGAGACTGGCTGCAAAGTTACGGGGAAGAATCGGGTTCAGAGCAGTATGTCTCCTGTGATCTGATATAGGGCCTGGTTTAGCTTGTTCGTCGCGCTGCATTCGTGTGTGTTTACTGTCCGTCGTTGTTCGTCCATGCAACGCCACATGACAATGGCTGAATGTGTGTGTGTGTGTGTGTGTGTGTGCGTGCGCGCGCACGTGTGTGTGAGGTGAGTGCGCGTACAAACATACAGCGGTGTGTTGGTCCGTCTGTCTGTCGGGCGTGGCCAGCAGTATTTGTGGTGGCTTGCATGTGCGTGCGTGCGTGCGTGTGTGTGTGTGCGTGCATGTCCTGCGGTGTGCTGACCCCGTTCCCCGAGGCCGGGGTCACGCTGCGTCGTTTTCACTCCAGGGACGGGGATGGCCCGGGGGGCCGAGGGGCAGCCCACGGACACGGTCTCGGACACGGCGCACCGCGGTGGCGTGGTCAGTGAGGCCGAGGCCGCGGCCCGCCCAGGCAGGCCTCCAAAGAAAAGGCATTGCATCATGACTGGCGCAGGCGGCCAAAACACCAGACTCGTTTTGAGCTCCGGAATCGCTACGCAGGACTCGAACCGGACGTGTGATCCCACCAATGGAGTCCTCGTTCGGAGAGCAAACCATTGGAAGGGCCACACGATCGAGTCCCATCTAGCGACTCTGGAGCTCAAAACACGACTTACGTTTTGACCACTTGCGCCGGTTTTCTGGCCCACTGTGTATACTCAGCGAGGAGGCGGTCGTCGCGCACTGGCCGGGTCGGGACGCGACAGGCGCCACCGGCTATGAACTTTGCCAAATAGGTCGCCTTCGTCCTCGGCCTCGTGCTCGCGGTGCTGTAGTGCATGGCAGTGCATGGCAGTGCATGGCGCTGCATGTACTTAATGGCTGTCGCCCAGTCGAATTGTGTCCCCTGGGACGACGCGACCTCGCTGCCTCGCGCGCAAAACGTCAGCGCGTCAGCGCCAAATAAGCGGCCGGCCACTGCCTCGCTGTGTCCACTGCTGCTAAAGTCCCACTTTGTTTTCGGTTCATTTCCAAACTATTTAGACTCAAAAACGAACGTGCATGTGTAGTGAAGGTAGGACGGGTTGATTCGGGTAAAACGTCGTTTGCTCACTGGAATTCCCCCTCCGGAGACGGGGCGCGCGCACGGACCGGACGCAAAGCACCTCTTGGAGCGAGTCGTGCCATCACCTCCCTTTATATGACAACACATCCGGCCCAAAGCATCGACGCGGCGGCGAAGCGGGGCGAAGCGAGGCGAAGCGGTCTCGCGGGACGGAAGCGCCGAAGTCGATGCGTCGTTCGACGCGCACCTGGCGGCAAGCTTGGCCGCAACCTTGGCGGTACTGCAGACTGATTCCGAGAGTCGCTTTCGTCGTTCTGTCTCTTTCGCTTTCATATGGCGCTCCCAATAGGTGCGAGAGAGACAGAGCGACGAAAGCGACTCTTGGAATCAGTCTGCTGACGGGGCTGGCGCGGCACCACACTGCCACCACCATGCTGCGCGCGGAGGGCGGCAAGGGATGGCACGCCTCGGCACGCCTCGAGTCGTCGGGCCAAACCGAAAACACCAAAAATGGCGCGCAAATGGCGATGGAGGCGACACGGCACTCACGCCAAACGACTCGTCGTCCAGCGTCTTTTGATAGGGCCTATCACAGTAAAAAAAGATTCGCTGTTTTGGTGGTCGTTCTATATCCAATCTCACCGAAACGGGTACCCCTACAAACCCGGCGACGGTCTGTCACCAAAACGGTGACCTGCGTCACCAGGTGGTGTTCCGCCAGAGAGGTTAGGATGACCACAACAACTGTTTTTGAGCTGTTTGTGCATATTTGTGCGTGCCCGCCGGCAACGTTACGCTTTGATGAGTCACGCGAATGATTACTGACAGCCCCTGACTTGTTTTGTGTCCTATTTCACATTAATACGACGATTAAAAGTCGCTGGCGGGAGGGTGACTGCAGTGCCGTTCTGGTGAGGTGGCCGCTCCGGAACGGACCGAGCGCCACCGAAACTAGACCGAGCGTCGCCGGAACGAACAGAGGGCCGCCAGAACAGTTTGAGGGTGTTGCTGTTCTTGTAATATTCTCGTTTTGGTGCCCAGACGTCACCGAATCGGCGAATCTTTTTTTACTGTGTAGCGGCCGGTGTGGCGCCTGGGGATACTCCTCGCTGCGTGCGCCCCGCGGGACTACCCCGTGCCCTGCGCCGCCCTGCGCCCCCCCCCCTCCCCCCGCGTGGTACCCGGCGGCCGCCATGGCTGCGATACCCGTCCCCGGGCCGTTGCCATCGAGTGTCGCGTTTTACCGCGGTCTGCGCGGTCCCCCCGGCCCGGCTGGAACCGGCAAGATGTCGGTGGCGGTTTTAGGTGTCCACCCGGTGGGGACGGCGCGACAGCCTCCTCGTGAACTCGGCAACCAAGGGGGCGCGGACGGCCACACGGCCACCGCCCTCCCCTCCACTGCAAAACAAAGGAGGGCCAGAAAGTAATTGAGGCGGCCTACAGGAAACATCTTGCTAACATAAATTAACTTGTCTATTTTCCCTCGACGTTGAGAGATCGAGGTGTTGTTTATTTTGGCTCCCTTCACGTCCTCGTTGGACCGAGTGAGACTGCTCTGACTGCTCGAAGGGCGGATAGCGGACATGGCGGTGCGATCGCAGGACTTCCTCTGAAGGGCCCACGTTCCACAAATATTAGCTGCGCTGGGCAACTGGTCCTTTTCCGGTGCCTCCCGCTGCTGGCTGGTCTGCCCTTGTTCGTCCTTGTCGGGGTCCCACGGGGGCCTTGCGCTGCCTCTCTCGCTCCCCTTTAGGGACGCCCCACGAGTGCGAGAGAGACGGAGCGATGAGAGCTCCAGCAGCACGGTGGATGCGGCCTGCTGCCGTGAGGTGTGAGAAGGGGCCAGGCGCGACGCAGCCAGACGCAGCAGGGACGGTGGTGGTGGTGGCTCAGGGATTATGCAAATATTTTGAGGGAGTCCAAAAATCTTGGCCGCTCTTCTATGGGTGGCTGTCGGTGGCTGTACGTCGGTGGCAGCTGCACTCGCAGACGCGGTACGGCACCAGGGCCTCCAGGGCCTCCAGGGCCTCCAGGGCCTCCAGGGCCTCCAGGGCCTCCAGGGCCTCCAGGGCCTCCAGGGCCTCCAGGGCCTCCAGGGCCTCCAGGGCCTCCAGGGCCTCCAGGGCCTTGGGGCAGCGGCGAGGGATCTGCAGGGGAACTCCGCTCGGTGGCGCAGTCGCTCCCAAAAACGCACGGTGGGACCGTTTGGCCACCAGCCACACCACACACAAAGGAAAAATAAACGACACAGAAAAACTCCTAAGAAGGAAGGGTTTTGCATGCAAATGAAGCGAGACGTAGGACGCAGGTGCTTTCAAAACATTGACGTACCGCCCGCATTCGCATCAGTGGCAGTCTAAACAGGCTGCCGTGCGCCGCCCCACTCCATCTCGTAGTGGTAGTACTACAAGGAGTACTACAAGGAGTGAGGTGGGGGTTGTGGCGGTAGTAGAGGCGCTGTCGAGCGACGCGAGGAGCGTGCGGCTGGTCAGGCCGGTCACGGAAGGGAGTGAAATAGAGCGAGTTTGTTCCGGACCACGGGCAGGCTGGGCGGGCCGGGCAGGCCGGCCGGACAGGTGCTGGCCGATGAATCACGCCCCGCGGCGAGGGGGAGGGGGGAGGGGGAGTGGATTTCAGGCTCCATAAATTACCCGATAGAATCGATACGACTTGAAAGTGTAGCCAATTACCTCATCTCAGGCCGGCATCTCCGGCCAGCCAGTCTCCCGAGCACCGCACTATTTGTTTCTTCTCTCTCGTGTTCTTTCTTCTCGCCGCTCCCCCGGGGGGTTCGCTTTCGCCGCCTCCGCTGTTGCCGGCGCGCTCGGCGCGCTGCGCAAGCGCCGCAGAAAAATCGAGGAAAACAGAAATATAAGGGGGAAAAAATGGACGACCGTCGTCGTCGTGTTTCCTTTCCTTTCCGCTGCAGGCGGGTTGCGGCTTGCGGCTTCGGCGCCGTCAGGCCGCCAGGCGCGGGGCTGCAGCGCTCTGCTCGCCGCCAATAATTACCGCCTCGCTTGGGAGGAGAGGGGAGGGGAGGGGAGGGGCGACATTGGCCGCCAAAGTCACGGCGTTGGCGGCCACACTGGGCAGGCGGGTTATCGAGATGCAGGCGCGTGGCATAGCTCATTGCCAAAGCGCTGAGAAGCAAGTGCCGGGCTTGATGGACAGGAAAGTCCACAGGTTCTGACGGGGTGATATCTAGAAGCCAGGCCCGGCGTCGCCTAGGCCGTAGGTGCGTGCTGCCGATCTTCGAGATGTCGCCGGTGCGCGCGGCGCGAGGCGTGACTCGAAATCCGATACCACGCGGTGCGGTGGCGCGGCGGCGCGGCGTTCCAGGTATCGGTGGTGTTCGCGGCCGCCGAGAGCGACGTGTCGGTGGCTGCCCGGGGGCTGCTTTACCTCGGAGGGGCAGGAGTCTGGGCCTCACTCCGAACCGCGTGCTTTGTCAAGCTACCTCTCTCGCACACATGCGGGACCCCCCACGGGTGCGACAGAGACAGAGCCTGTTCGGAATCAGCCTCGCACGGCGTTAGTTGATTTTCTCTCGGCAAGTCATCGCGCTGGCCGTACTGTACCGCTCCTGGCGTGTTGAAAAGACTCCTACCTGCGATGCCAGCGAGGCCGACGGGGCCGCCTCCCCCGGGGCTCTGGGGCGCC